TCAAAACTTGCGACATCTGTGGCATTGTGCTGTGTGATAAAACTGAACATTTTAGAGTGGCCTTTTATTGTGGCCAGCCTAAGGCACACCTGTGCAATAATCATGCTGTCTAATCAGCATCTTGATATGCCACACCTGTGAGGTGGGATGGATTATCTCAGCAAAGAAGAAGTGCTCACTAACACAGATTTAGACAGATTTGTGAACAATATTTGAAGGAAATTGTCTTTTGTGTGTATAGAAAATGTTTTAGATCTTTGAGTTCAGCTCATTAAAAATGGGAGCAAAAACAAAAGTGTTGCGTTTATATTTTTGTTCAGTGTACATTGAATATACCTTGAGGACATAGCAAACTGTTTCAGACCAGTCTCTAACCTGCTATGGTAACACAGAACATGCATTAAATCTGCTTTTATCCCATTTTCACCACATGTCTAATCATTCATCCTTTACTTTAAACATCATCAGGTCTGCATATTTTCTGTTGATTTGTATTTAACTTATAATCCTTTAGATTCCAGCCATAATAGATTTGGCAACACCTGTGGTTACCAGTATTGGTAGATTAAAAAGGACAGACATACTATTGTCTGACACGAAATGCATAACTTAATTGCATGACAAATACTCTGCACTGACTTCTGCATTACATCCAGTTTGATCTGCATCATTTCCTGAGAATCCTTTGTGAGAAGAGAGCACCCAAGGACCAGTGAAAGACATGCTATATGAGAGATTTCATTGACTTACAGAGGGAAGTGGAACAGAGAATAGTGTGATGTGGCATCAGGACATCAACCCATGTATATTATCTCTTTGTTAGACCCTCTCTGCCTGGTAAATGCCCACATTTTTCAACTCGACACCTGTAATTTGTATCACAGGCCCAAGTTAAAAATGTGTTGTCTTTAAGCCTGATGACCACATCAGGCCAAAAATCATCAGAGATGGATTTTCTTACTGGTCGTGAGGTATGGTTAGTGCCTGCAGTAGGGACATCTCAAACATCCTATCCAACTGTACCTGAAGGTGTCTCCCACTCTGTCTTTGAAACAGATGAAGCCCTCCTGGTCTTCAGCCATGAGGTCACCTGTGTTAAAGTAGGCATCTCCCTTCACGAACACATCTCTCATCAGCTTCTTTTCAGTCAGCTGCTTGCTTCCAGCATAGCCAAAGAATGGGCTAATGGCGCTCACCTTGGACAGTAGAAGCCCTGTCTCACCTTAAAAGAAAAATACCACAGAAATTCAATACAAAGTACTTCTTACATGAAATAAATTTCTCAAAACTCAAAGTTAACTCAAAACATCATATATATATATATAAAAAAAATCATTTGTGGAAATGTTACACCTTACCCCTCTCCACTCGCTGACAGAAACCATATGGATTTTTCACTGGTTCATCTTTCACCATATTATACTTTATCAGATCATACTTGAACAGGAGCTACATAAGAAAATAAGATAAATATAAGTTAAATATAAGATATTTTTCACAGCAGATATTTTGACACTAACCACAAAGCAGAGTAGCCTTTATTAAAGGAGCTATATGTAAGAAATCTAAAGCAAATAGTCGTAAAATCCTCCTAATATGTCACAGAGACTAAGGATTAATGTTAATATAACATACTGATCTCACCGACAACAATAGTAAAGCCAGAATATTCACATTTAAAAATATTTTTTACGGTCTGCAAATCATGTTTATATTTTGAATTTGTGTTTTGGCCTGTTGCACCACCCACCGCCGTCTACCAGTCACGCAGTCAGTGGAGTCTCAGCATCAGTTACAGTTACGACTGAGCTACAATGGCTGACAGTGCGACTAAACCCAAACAACCTTGTTATGATTCCCAAAAACGCCAAGACAAAACTCGAGGGTCAATATAGGAGATGCTTTTGAACGGTGGAGACCGTTGAAAGCGGAGAAGAATTTGAAATCGGATGTCGAAGTGGCTACTCTTCTCCTTGACAGGTAAGCTTTAGCCAAAGTTGGCTAACTAGCATCATAGCTAGACGGGGATGGACATTTCGAATACTTTCAACTGTTATTTTCGATCATACATTGTAGCCCATGTGCAGGTGGGTAATCGACCCGACTGATTTTTTTGAGAAACAAACGTTAGCAGCACAGCAAGCAGCATTAGCAGTGTCCCAGTACATAGCATTAGCAGCCGGCTCCTCCTCAGCTGTATCCCTGCAGCAGCATTAGCAGCAGAGAAGCCGGACTTGCTCGAATTGTCTGCTGGAAAACCGAAGATCAAGGACGTGGCGACGCGGCCCTGCCACGGCAGCCACCCGTGGGCAAACAAATCATGCCCATTTTCCACCAGATGCGTGTTGGTTGTGTCTGCACTCCGGCACGGCAGCGGAGCCGATAGGATTCAGTTCTAGTCGATGTGTGTGTTTCCACCGGCTGCGGCTGTGCTGCTTTCCGGCTCCGTCTCAGCTGCGGCACTCCGAAGCCCTCCTCAACAGATACGCAGGACTTCTATTTTTGCTGGACGCGGGAGCACAACGCAGCAATTCAGCACAGAGCAGCAACCTCAAATCTGTAGGGGAGGGGGGGCGGACATTTTGAATTTCAGTGCAATAACCGTTTTGGCCACATTCTTTCATACAGCGCCTTTAAAATGATCGATTACAGCTGTGCCTTTACTGCTATAGCATGTCAAAATGACTGCTGTGAAAAATATCTGAGCAATTGTAACACTCTTGAAACTAGAATTACCACCCCTGCACCAATCAAGTTTCCATGTCTGTGAAGACATGGATGCTTCAAACACATCTTCCCCCCGATAGCTCAGAAGATCTATACAATCAGCACAGTTTCAAGGTGGACCCTCTTCAATTTGAGTGAAGAAACAGGAGCCAATAGACTCTGAAGACTGGAGCAGGATGTTTCACAGTGGTAAGCATTTATTTCGTAGCTGTCTTATATTTCAGCTGTTACATGATAACTGTAACTTATCTGACATTATGATTACAATTGTATGTCCTCTGACTGAAGTTGAAAATGTCTGCTACAGAGTACAAAAGGTTTCTTACAACATTATGTGGAAACACCAACACTAGCACTCACCTGTCATATGCAGTGGTGAAAAGCACAACTCCTTTTTTTTTTTAAATCTAAGCAGACTCATCTAAGATCAAACTAATGTAGCTTGCGTTGGCCAATAATACCAGTTATTATAAATTTGGCCAAAAGTTATTATGAATTTGGCTACTACCACACAAGCTTTAAGTCATGAATTCAGCAATTTTACCACAGCAGATTGAGATGACAGATTTCTGTATTATACAGAAACAAATGGATGAAAATTACAAGTATATTCAGATGTCTTAACTGTCATGTTTACTGTAACCATTCAACTAAAATGTAGCTGCATTTTATAATCATCTTCACCTTATGTTTGTGATCTACAATATGTACATTGTACCAATTTATCAGTTTCTCCACATCATTTATATGAAATCAAAGTTTCATAGTAAACCCACATGTTGCTTTCTGGATCAGTATTTGTTCTATGCAGTGATGTTGTCTCCTGAGTCTTTATTTGCTTACTGCAAAACAGTATGTCTTGTCTCTTTTTTACTTATTAGGTTTTGGGGTAATGAACCAGGTTCCAGTTCATTCTACATGTTTGATACACCATCCAGGCCTAGAGCCTAACTGCTCCAATCCTTACACCCTGCAGAACATCCACAACATGTACAGGTCTGACTATGGACCCTTAAGACATAGAACTGAAGAAAAGTAAATTTTTATGACATATAAAGAGATACAACTGCGTAAACTCCATTCTGAACATTATGGTTTCATTATACCAAAAAACCCACTGATAAAGAAATGACAAAAAAGTATTTTGTCAAAATTCCTTTATTTTTAGCACATGTAAACAATGAAAACTACAAAAAACTCTGTAAATAACATACGATAGATAAATGCAAAAATATAAACACAGCAGCATTTTATCTGCAACACTAAACCAAAAGCTGCCAGAGCTGCAAAACGGCTGAATTCACTCTAGCAGCACCGCTGGTAAAATATTTGTGGCAGCGAAAGCAGCTCAAGTTGCTCATGACGTCAAATTCTGAACATTCGATTATGCTTCTCAATTTAAAGAAGCCACAAAGCAAGTTACTGGCTGGAGCACAGAAATGTGACTTTGTGCATTTGCCTGAGAACAGAAACTTTCTCTTTGGACAATGAAAACAGAATAAAAAGTCTAAATAGGTCTGACATTAAACATTAAACACACATAGCCTGTGTTGTGTTCAGACGTTGTCACTTAAATAACAAATTCCAGTACTTGAATAGGCTGTAGCACAACACAGCAGCATGTCAAGTGGGCTGAACCCGTACCGAATATGAGCAAAGGTTTTTGATTTGTTATTCCCGCCCAAAGCTGTAAACCTAGGGGAAACACTGTCATTGGTTTGCGTTCAAGTGCCTACAGTGCGATTAGTTAAACTGGTGGTAAGGAGAGCAAATGAATTGCATTCCTACTAATAACATGCGTTCCAGAACACAAAGAAATTGTGTAAGTAAGTGCACTTGTCCACACTTGTGTATCTATTCAGCATGGAAGAAGACACTGCTGCTGTGTAGTACCTGCGTGGATGTAGCCGCCGTCGGCTCTGGGTTCATGATATCCTCCGGGGCTGTGAACAGCACGGGGAATATCATCGGCTGGTGCGGGAGCTGCAGCTGGATGGGGAGAGGTTCCAGCGCTACTTCAGGCTGAACATCGATCAGTTTGACAGCTTACTGCTTGTTTTGAAGTAGGAACGAATGTGTGGTAGGAACTAAAAGTTTCC